AATGCCCTTAATTAAATGGCTGTATGATTATTAAAATACTACACTGCTATATCCTATACTTTACCTTCCCTTGAGCAGCCAGAGCCCAAATATGGTCAAACAGTGTTTGACGGGCAGCCTGTGGCCTAATGGTAAGAAGACAGGCTTGATATTGAAGGATCCAAGGTGTGAATCTGACCGGCTGTGATGTGATCGACCACCAAACATTCTCTCGCACTCAGGATGCCCCTGATTGGCTCACTGCTCTCCAGGGATGTGGAGGACAAACCCCCGCTGTGTGGCTCTGTGTTTGTGTGTGTATTTAGCTGCTTCTTCGCCTCATCTCATCTTCATCACCCAGGTTCTCCTATATGTTGACATGGTTAAATCAATAATAGAACAGAGCCATTCTTCCACTGACTTCCATTTTAACTGGTTATTTGCTCGCGATGGCAAACATTTGCTTTCACACCTTTGGATTCACAAGACTAACAGCATCTAATATCAGGTCTAAAGTGACACCTAAATATACAGCTGTCTTTTCTTCCTCTCTGCTGGTGACTGGCATGACTGGAGGTATCAATTGTTTGGATCTTTCTAGAATAGGGGTGTCAAACATACGGCCCGCAGCCCAAAACAAACCCCCTCTGGGTTTCAACCGGGTCCGATTGATAAAAATAGAATAATACAGATCACAATGTTCAGGTAATGCTTTGTAAAATTATGTTTCACTAAATATGAAGATTCATCTAGTGTATTTTTTGCATGAAAACAAACGGCAAAAAGAAAGACATCTAATAAGGTTGCATGCGGTCCCTGGACCAAAATGAGTTTGACAACTGTCCTCTAGTGTTTTTTTTTTTTTTTTAAATCTATTCAAAAGAAAATTGGCACTTATTTTAGAACTTCTAAAATCATGTTTTCTTGTGTCTATTTTGAGATCAGGGATAGCGGTGTTAATTATATGTGCTTGTTCCCAAATTAGTAACACTACCGTAAACTGTTTTTCACGCACAACAACAAGAAAAAAAAAAAAAGAAAAAAAAACCCTTCCTCCCTCTCCCACAAAGAACACTGTGATGATTACCTGCTCTACCACTTAGGTCCCATTTGCTCCGACCAAAAAGCAGATCATCTCACCTCCACAGAGGGCCTTGTTTGGAGCTTTGAGATATTCCACCAAGTGCCTACACAGCTATTTGTAGACATAGTACCTAGCTGGCACTGACTGGAATATGTTAGCGTTTGTGTGAGTGCGTGTGTGTGTGTGTGTATTTGACGGGTGATACCATGTGTAGAATGGAAGGCTGTAAGAATGGAGAGTTGGATGACACAAACAGGGCAGAGCCGTGGGAGGCTGGTGTCAGGGCCCTCCTCCCACCACCAGGCTGGATGCAGTATCTGACAGCTGACTGAGAGTCTGCAGGCCCCCACTTTACACAGTCCTACCAAAAGATCAGTACTTCAGTCGGCCCTGCCCTCTGGACACTTTCTCTCTCATAGATGCACAGACCATGCTCCATTTAGCCCCGTTGACGCACACATGCACCTCAGTGGTAGATCTGATACACAGACCGACGTCCTGCCTGCATTTATGTGACCTCATGTAATCCTGGCTCTGCCTAATCACAAAAGTTATATCTTATTCAACATTAAAAAATACCATCTGTCATTTCCATATTGTATGCCTTTGCTTGTTTTCAAATCATGCCTAACAAATGAACAGTTCTCCCACTGATATCATCTGCGTCAATTACTATTAGCGAGATGAGTGGAATGTCAGGAGGGTTGTGAATGTGGAGAGTACACCACTTTATATTGTAAGAGTGTTAAATACTAACGGCAGGATCCACCGTGAGGACTGTGAACTGGCTTTAAACCTCCTCCATATGCAGCTGTTGAGGAGAGCTGCGTTAAGACACCGAGAAGGAACACAGGAAAATGTCAGCCAGACAAATGTCTCACAGCCAGTCTCACGATGGATCCTTTTCCAGTGCAGAAAAGGAAATTCTGCACTTTGATTCTTTCCACCGAGTTAATGATTTATTTCACTGCCCACTCCTTCGCTGAGAGCTTTCCATTACACTACCAGATGCTCAAGTGAAAGCCTAATAATAAGCATATTTATCCTTTCAGTTAATTCTCATTGACTTAACCGTAATTAGGACACTGTGCTTCATTAATTCTGTCAATTAAACATGCAGCACAGGTCAATGTAGAAGTATTTGAATAAAGCAGCTACTGTATTTCTAATTATTTCCATTTTTGCCTTGAATTCTCCCGCAGTGCTTTCGTAGTGCATTCAGCCGCTTGTCCAGGTGACGACAAGTCACACTCTTCACTTTTCCCCTCAGGATGTGAATGTTCTGTGGTTGAGATGAACAAGAAGAACAAGAACACGATAAACATCCTAACAATGTGCCTTTTATCTTTTACCGTTAATTCTGACACAGGGCTTCTCTGATCGTTGTCTGACTTCGTAGGGTTTAAAAACCTCGACTGAACCAGCTGGGCAGGAATAAGGACCAGTCAGGGTGAATCATCCAGTGTTGTCGACGAGTCACTGGAGCTCGAGTCATCCAATAGGTTCACACAGGGGAATCCAAGTTGTAACACCAACAGGCGTGGCCCACCTACAGGGGCTACGCTATCACACCGATGCTAACACAGGCGTAGATATCAAGCTGGCCGTCATAACATAATAACATATTCCCCCTTTTTTCATGCAATAAAGTACATTAGATTCATGCATTCATATTTAATAAAATGTAATTTTACAAAACATTTCCTGAACATGAAGTGTATTATTTTATTTTCAAAACCCATCAAGCGGGCCAATTCCGCCCCGTGGGCCATATGTTTGACACCCATGATCTAGTACATGAAGCCAGACAGAGTGTGACTTATGCTTAGGAGCCATAATGAAGGGCACAAAAAACCAAGACAAAAAGAAAGCAAGCAAATGTAGTGCGGTCAAAGGTTAGAGTTCCTCTGCAGGAGTGATGTTTATCATCAACACCTGAAGCTGTCATGAGTGTCTACAGTAACAGAACTCCATAAACCATTGTATTACCATATTAACAGCAGGAGGAGAATATCGCTGTTCCTCAGTGGAGCCTATCATACAGTACAGCAGTAACTCATACAGTAGTTGTTACAGATAAAAATACACGTTATCAGGTTCTCAGTAGTATTTCAGTTTGCGGTGGTGTAGGTCAAAAGGGGTTGAAAGAGGGCATGAAAACATTTCTGTCCCCGGAGGGGAGGGGGGAGGGCAAGACAGAAAATAATTGAGAACCACTGCTGTAATAGAACATGACTTAATGTTTAGTGAGTAAGTCGGTGGCGATTCGACTTGGATCGGCCTCTGAAAGCTCCTTGAGTAATTCAAGACTCGACTCCAGCTTCAGTGACTCGATAACCACACTGGATGATTCACCCTGGCTGGTCCTTGTTCCCGCCCAGCTGGCTCATCGAAGGTTGTTAAACCCAATGAACCCAGATGAATATCAGAGCGTTGTGTCAGAAAGACCATAAACGATGACAGGAGGCAGCGTTAGGGAGTTTGGTGGTGTCATGTCAGTCTCTTCCCTGGTGTGGACAAACATTTTTAGTGACAGTAAATACAGTAGACATTGAGTGGACAAAATGAAAAACAGTGGTGGGTTATTACCAGGAGTTGGTGTCACTGAGCTTGGGCTTCAGTTCTTTTATGGCAAAGGTCAGCACTCCAGCACTGAGATCAGGTTATCTTACACATACACAGCGGCGCTGTGGCTTAGTTGGTTAAAGCGCCTGTCTAGTAAACAGGAGATCCTGGGTTCGAATCCCAGCAGTGCCTTTTAGTGGCTGTGTACTGTTACACATGTGCCTCTCACGCAGAAGGTCCTGGGTTTGACCTTAGACTAGGAACCACACAATTAGCGCCTCCCATTGGGCAGCCTGTTGTAGCAAACCTGCTGTTATTGCAGTGAATATTATCTCCAGGTATTCTATTCTTTTTCATGCATATAGTTATTTCTGTTAATGTTATTTTTTATTGTTAATTAATTTTTTATTAATTATTAAATTATTTTTCTATTCTCTGTATCTGTGATAATATAAAAAAAGATGTATAGAAAGATATGTGTACTTGTGCAGAAAGTAGAATATAAATGTATAAAACAGAACGTACTGTGCATTTCAGCTAATAACTTCACACTAATTGCACGTACAGAGGATTTTCCTATCTGCCTTTCAGGGACAGTGGTATCGCAGTGAGGAGCCGACAGAAGAATAGAACAGAACTTTGTTTGAACATCATCACAACTGAAGCCTTACTTCTACTGTGTCCATTTCATCTCCTCTGTCTGAAGTGTTACTCACATGTCTTCAGGCCCTGAGGCTGAGTGAGTGTGAGTGTCTGTTGTCAGTGGAAAAGAAGAGAGCTTTCATCAAAGACACAGACACAGACATGAAAGAGAGGACAGATATGAATGTGTGAACATTGTTCAGAACTAGAATACTTTATTAATGAATATTGATCTAACTTAGTCTATTCAGTTTGAGCGTTATATGTAGAAACAAAACATGACTGACGTGAACAAGATCAGCGCCCTCTAGAACAGGTCAGAACTGACGCCTGTGGTTGAGGAACCAGAGAAAGGGATAGTTTGGGTTTTTTTTAACCAGTGGATGACTTTTTCCTTCACACAAGTCCAAGTTCAAACAGAAATAAACAAAATAAAAGTTTTGAAAAAAGTTTCAGCTTCAAAGTGCAGAGCATACTCTGTATTGGTCTTTCGCCAATCCCAGTTTAACAAAAGGTGAAATACAATTTAGATCATCTAATACGTCCTAATATCTGCTGCCCCCAAGTGGCAGAACTAGATAGAACATAGTATAAAACTGAGAAATTGGCATAAGTTGTTCCTTTTTCTGAACTACAGTACTGTTGTGTCGTTAACAAAATGACATTATCTGATGAAATAACCGTCAGCGGTAAAATCTTTTTGGTGGTAAAAATACCATAAACTCCATCACATGGTAATTCCAAATAAATTTATTTTTAATTTCATCCACTGTACAAAGTAAGAATGGAACCTTCTGGACACAAACAGGACTGGGGTGGACAGATGGACAATCAATTCCCATTGAAGAAACAGAAAAGATTACCTACAAGGAAAAAACAAAAAAGAAATAAAGAAAAAAACACCAAAAAGTCATGACCGTGTGGTTCTGTTCAGATGTTGGATTAACGCATCAAAAACTGAGTAAGATTGGAATACAGGTGCCCAGGTGTCCTACCACGAGTTTACTCCAGAGCCTTAACGATGGCTTCATTAGCCTCTATGCTGATCTGAACTTCTGCCCTGGCCAGCTCATCAGATACACTGTTCAGGTCATTCTGGGCCTTCTCCAGGTTGGCCTTAGCAGCCTGAAAATAGACAGACAAAAGGAAATCAGACCAAAGGACTCACAAAAAGCTTTGCCTGAAGTAAAAACACTCCAGTTGTTTGTACAAATAAAAAATATGATTGCACAGGATGGGTTCATTAGCCGATTAACAAAAAGGATTTAAGGCCCTGTCGTGCTTGACCTCATTTTGAAAGAGTAACACGAATAACATCTTCTCATATCATCAAACACACTCTTTGGTGGCTTGGAAATTTTGAAGAGTAGGGTTAAAAAAAACCTCAGCCTCCTTTTCTGAAAGCTCCATTTGTCAGAGTGGTGATTAGAAACGAGAAATGCCAAACATAGCTGGAAGTTAAAGGTCTCTCAGTGGGGATTTGACATATCTGCTATAACTCGACAGTGACTGACCTTTCCCTCCTTATTAACAATGTGTGCCCATGTGCATTGTTACAGTGGAGTAGAAGAAGAAGAAGGGGGAAAAAAAAAGAAATTAACTCGTTTACAGCTATGAAGTCAACTTGACACTGACAGCAGCACAGCTCAAGGTCAAAACCACACACTTCCACAGTGGATGCACGATGTCACCGCGGCGCATTAACGAGAAGAATGACATTTAAAACGGGGACTCGGATGAACTGCCACTCTGATCAGATGGTTAATTATGACCTGGAAGGTCATTATCAGAACTGAAAAACAGAAATGAACCAAGAGTGGGTTCACCGAAAAGTTAAAGACACTCCCGATAATTATTCTTGTATCTATAAACTGGCCGTGGACAGCTGTCATGTAAATATCAACCAAGCTAAAAACGATCCATAAGGAATTGACTGGTTCATATTCCCTAGGCATTTGTCTGCACCGTGGTGATACTAAAAAGTTGAGAATCAAAATCTAAAAATGTGCAGTTCTGGTCTCACAGAAAAAGACAACAAATTCAACTAATTCAAGTTAGCATAAAGTCTAATAATATATCAAAGACACTCTCTTTTTTATTCTCATTCAGATAAACACATATTTCACAACAACACAGAAGTATTTGAACCTTTTAAAATTCTATTTTGAAATTCAGTCTCAAGTTTAAAGGTGCTTTTAATCATGTTAATTAGATGCTAGATCCACTGACCTTTAGCATTTATGCACAACTAATAATGAAAAAGATCAATGTCAACATTTGCTGGTGGAAATCATTAAAGCAAACACGGCCTTAATTGCTGCAGTCACAGAACAACCTCCAGTACATAAAGAGTTTGTGTTTTCATTCTGCAAGTTAAGTCTTTCATTCTGTTGGGTAAATGAAAAATAAAAAAAAACCAGAACATTTGTTTGTATAACTCATCTTTGTGGCCACGTTCTTTCAACACACATGCTGCAGTGCACGCCACACGCTTCCTGCCAAACGTTAAATAGCCAAAACACAACCTCCACACTACAGAAGTGCCAAAGGCTTTTCTTTTCAACAGTTTTCCAATTTCCATTCATGTCTGGTCTTTGTTTGTTGCTGTGTCTGCTCCAGTAATGACACTGCTAATGTTTTCCGTAATGTAGTCTGTGGTTATTTCCTCTTAACGGAAGAAAGGAACGGCACACAGGAGATAAAAAATGGCGTGAAATCTCTTGCAATTCTCACGCCATTTTTTAATTGTACACAGGAAAGACATGTTTTATATAACAGTGTTTAGACTAGTGATTCCCAAAGTAGGGGCAGGCCCACCCTGGGGGGTGCACTGCTATTGTGGTGGAATAAAGGGGTGTGGCTGAGGGTCCTCAAGGGGAAAATTTAGCTAATTAGTCTTTTCTTTTTAAATTACATTAATTTACAATTGAATTGTATTTGTCAATATGGGGCAGTTTAACAATAGTCCTATCTACACAAGGGTGGTGCTAGAGAAGGTTGTGTTGGGTAACCATTGGTCCTTACTGCAACGTCGAGCTGGTCCAGGGGAACGGCCTCCTCAGCTAACAGCTGCACTGAAGAGTCAGAATTGACTGTCACGGAGCCACTGCTAACTGTTAACGCACACACAAACACAGTGAACACACATACAGTGAAGCACTTGATCTTCACATTGAAATTATTCTTTAAAGTGGATATATAAAAGTCACTTGAAACATTGATAAAAGGTAAAAAAGAAATTCATAACTAAGGCACACCAATCACTCATGGTTTAAATTATATAACTAAGTGAAAATAATTCTAGACAAAGTATTATAAAAAGTTCCCTCTATATATACCTGTGCCTCTAATCCTAAAAAAATTACTTAAATTAGTTAACTTAACATTACTACTTAAACTTATTGGTCTGCATCAACCATAGGATTTGGCTGGTCGTATTCATTTGTGCACAAATCAGCAGAAAATTACAATTCACATGAATCTTGTACATGAAATTGATCCATGTTATAATTTAGTATTTTGCATCATTCCATAAAAAACAAAGTTTTACTATTAATAGATGACCTAACCAGCGACTCTGGACTTTTTTTTCCTTCCTCAAAAATAAAATCTGACTGTGATTCTATCATATGTTACAACCTTATTTGCAGATCATAGATTAGTAAAAGATTATTGTGGATATATTAAAAATGTGATGTGAAGTGATGTGTTGCAACAGTTTCTAGATTACACCTCACATGTTCACACCCTGCAGCTAATCACTGTCTAAAACACATTCTTACCAAAGTATTTGACAGAGGAGCCATCGTCACTGAAGACTGTGACAACACCGGGCCTGAGGACCTGCAGGGTGGGCACGTGAGCAGGGAGGATGCCGAATACCCCAGTTAGTGTGGGCACATCAACCTGTTTCACACTAGCCTCACTGAAAAACACCTGCAAAGACAAGACAGGACAGGACACAGGGGCATTAGAAGAAAAACAGAAGAAGAAAGTTTGGATAACTTTTAAATATTTAGAAAACCTAATTTCATCATATAAAAACTATTAACAGACTTGGGTCTTTCTCACGAGCTTGAACTTTATGTAAAATATGTATATGCCAGTGGATGATGCGGTACATAGCTCTACTGTTCTGTGGAGCTGTACTCATTCGAGTTCATGTCAACGCATTACAACAACATACACATATCCTGCTGTATTATAATTATGTTTAAAACTGTAAATAAACTCTCTCTTTATACAAGTTATATAACTGCAATTTACATGCTTTACTCCCAACATCAAACATGCAAAGTCAAGGTTACTGCTTTGCACTAAATGATTCTTACGCTGTACTTGCTGCAGCATTGCTTCATGTATGTGCTGTTGGATTTTATTTGTTATAAATACCAATGATCAATGCCAAACACAAGCTGCTTTTCAAAGACGTTGAATGACAGTGAGCATTCGTTAGCTTGCTATGCTAACCTGTTTTCTGACACTGCAAACTACCATCAACAAACGATGAGATTTGTGAATTCAATGCAAGAAGCATTGCTTCCAAACTGCGTAACGACCACGTTGGTAGAGTTTATTACAACATGTGGGTAATCTGTAGAAGACGCGCGTTGTTACTTAGCAAAATAGCTGCCCGGGCCCGTTAAGCCTCGCTAGTAGCATTGACTTTGGCTCATTCTAGTTACCTGTGACGGGGAGGCGAAAGTAAAGGACATCTGCGGACCACCAGGGCCGGCCTCGGCGTAGGAGCGAGCCTGCCTCAGCACAGGCAGAGCGCGGCGGAGAAACCTTGCTGCCATCATGTTTGAAAACAGCTTTTTATTCAAGTACAGTTGAATGACAGGGATCCCCAAGCCCTAGTGTGAAGGCGGTGTGCGCTTGGTAGGACAAGGACGTTTGCAACCTTCCCAGAAACCTTCACGATGGAGTAAAGCATGCTGGGTCTTTGAGTCTTCGAGGCATTGATAGGTGCACACGACAAAACGTGGCTTCGCGATAATAGAGAACCGAAAAATAAATGCAAAATGAGAAATGTAAATAAAAACACTTTACTGAGCTAAGTCCGATTAAAATGTGTTTTATTAAAAAAAAAACAACAACATTTAAATAATGAAGTCAAATTCAATTATTATGTTTTGGTTATAAATTGAATCTTTCTTTAAATTTGTTGTAAACAAGTTTCACTTTCCTCATTGTCAAATTTTAGTACTTAAAGTGGATAATCCGCAATACCCAGTGGAAAAAAAA